GAACATAGGTAATGGGGACTATAGGTCCTTGGGAACATATGTACTGGGGAAAATATTTACTGGGGAACATAGGTACTGGGGACCATAGGCACCAGCGAGCATAGAGATGACTCCCTTTGGTTGCTTCCATTTATAACATAGGTCCTTGTGAACATATGTACTGGAAAACATATTTACTTGGGAACATAGGTAATGGGGACTGTAGATCCTTGGGAACATGGATACTGGAGAACATAGGCATTAGGGTGGTCCCAAAATATAAACTTCTACTTTTCCAAGTGCTTCTTCAGTTTTTTTGTTCCATTTGGGGAAAAAGTCAATGGGGTGAAATTTCACAAGATTTGACCACTGCCACTCAACCCCTGTTTTTGTGCCATGCGAGTAAAATTTTTGATTCTGTCATTGCCAAGACCACCAGTGAGACGTTAGCCAGAAATCTGTGTTATTTGAGTAAAAAACTGGCCAGACTTGTCATATTTGACAGCAGCATTGCACACGATGATCTTAGCTGTTCTCAAGGAGGAAGGTCACAATGATCCTCAGTCGTGTGCAACAGTGGACCTACAATAGAAGCAAATGAAGCTATTGTTACCAAAACTGTGGCAGATTTTGTTACATCTGCCTCAAGTCCCATTTTGATGCATTCAGCATCAACATGAACTACCTTGTCAAGGACCCATCATAATGGGAGGATGACCCATTATTCTAGTGGCATCAATGTCAGTTCCTGGAAGTGAAGAAAGTCATGACCAAATGCCACTCTTCATGACTGATTGTTCTCACCAAATATGTGAACAATGACACTTATTTATTTTATTTTTGTCTTGTAAGCCCATCCATCCATCTTTCTTTCAGGTTCATGGTGCCTCAGCAATCACTGGTCACAAGTCCATAGGGCCACATAGATGGGGACAATTTAGAGTTAACAATTTTGTTTTTGAAAGGAAGCCAAAGTACCTGGAGAAAACCCATGCACGCAAGGAGAGAACATGCAAACTCTACCCAGAGGGGTCCCCAGGCCGGGATTCAATACGGCGACCTTCTTGCTGAGAGGCATCTACTCTACCAACTGAGCCACTAGGCTGCCACTTTGTTTCACTTTGTATTTCATATCTAAGCAAGCATGTTGGCATGCACAAATGAGCTCAACCATTCTAATTTTCACCACACATGCGGCTGTGGTTAGAAAAGTTGTATCGACACAAAATTTGGTTCAAAGGATTTTTTTTTGCAAAAGGAACAGTTTTGTCAGGAAGCACCTTAAAGGAACCGTGTGTAGGATTTTGTCAATTCTTTTAGCCGAAATTGAGATAATCACTAATGACAATAATAAAAACCAAGTCTAATCATTGCAGACAAAGACCTTGTTTTATTATTTTTACCTTATAAAAAGCTGTTTATACAGTGGTTTGCAAAAGTATTCATACCCCTTGAACTTTTCCATATTTTGTCACATTACAAC